ACCACACTCACATTTAGCCTTTTCAGGGACAGGCAGAAACACACACTAACATTTCAACTGGTAGTGTTTTAAGCTAAAACCTCCCCCCAGTGGGTTACAGTATCATCAGATCTGGTTTTATGTGCTATTGCTAAAATTTACAGTATCTTACCTTGTCACAGAGTTTCTGTAGGACAAAATGGTAAATTAGTGCAAATCTCTTCAGTTGATCTTTTTCCTTTTTTTTTACCATGGGTAGCTCAGATCTGCAGTTTTTTTTTTTTTGGAGGCAGAGTAGTTTCACATCAAAGTTACAAAAATTGTGTCAAAGGGATACTGGTGCTACAAAGATCCTTTAGGTCACTGCACTTGCAGTGTTGTACTAGTCATCTGCTTGAGATCAGAAAATGGACTGGAAATTTAAAAGCAAGTTCAGCATTAATATTTGTTAAGACAACACGGAGGACAAAAGTGTAATACCTACTTTGAAACACTCGTACCTTGTTACACAATGAGTAAACACAATTAACATTTCACATTAGTATACTAGTAATACTCCTAACCATTTGGTTTTGAAAATATATAAAATGCTACAAATACCACTTTCTTGTAAAAGACCCACAAATCATTCAGGAGATGCCAAGTTAAAATGGCATTGCCACACTTTACAATGGACAACACCAATGTTTTGACTCTTAAGAATATTTGAGATCAAACTTTTTTTTTTTCTTTTACTTGGAAACATAAATGTCCATCAAGAATTTAGAGAAAGTCTAGCTGCGTGACTGTGACAGTAGCAAGCGTACCAAGTCCAGTCATTCCATCTCCACCTCTCAAGTGCAATCAAACTCCTGTCAGACTGCTCAGGTTGCTGTATTTGGCTTTTGTACTAAGCAGCCTGCCTCACTAGCTTATTCAAACAGAGGCTGAGTATGGAATGTAGACAAGCTAACTTTTGTTATTGAGAGCTGATTGAAAAATAGGCTGAAACTCAAGGAGCAGGGCGTTTACACATCTTCAGGGCATTCACTTTCCAACTCTTAAAAAACCTAGCTATTTATGAAAATATATCCATCTAAGTGCATATGTATGTGTACATGTGTCAGTGTATGTGTGTGCACTCATAGGTGTGGATATGAGAAAATAATTTGTAAACTTCTCTCTTTCACACTGTGCAAACTGCATTGTTTCGAGGAGGAGAGGGAGGATAAGTTGGAGAAGAATGCAGCAGGTTGAATTTGGCAGCGCAGCAGTTGAAGGGGAGTTACATAGCGAAAAGGAGAGAAGGGGAGGGAGGGGGAAATAGCTGGTGTAGCCTAGCTCTGAAGCAGGATAGGGTCTTCTAGCTCCTGAAAGCCAGGCACTGAGCTGCTCTGACTTTCTCCAGAATCTGAATCACAGGGCGTGTCAGGTAGCTCTGTGAAGCTCCAAGCTAGCTGCTCATCCTCAAATTCAGAGCGCACCTGCACGGGCATGTCGGCGCAATCTTCCTCCTCATTGGAATGGAAGTCCTGGGGGATGTAGAGCATCTCGGGGTAGTTGCGCGACACCAGGTCATTGGTGGTGGCCAGAGACACCTTACGGAAGGCGATGAGATGCATGTGAGAATACTTGACGTATTTGTATCGCTTGAAGCCTAGTGACTCCACCGCAACACGCCAGCTGCGCATCATGAGAGCGTGCCGGTTCTGGTGGGAGGAGTCAGGTGTGATGATGAGCAGTAGGCCGTGCAGCTCCAGCAGCTCGTGGGCCTTCTTGCAGCAGATCCAGCGCTGGTATGGTGAGGGGAAGTAGGACAGGAGCAGGGAGAAGACCACCACATGGAAAAGCTGAGCAGGCAGAGCGTCAATGGGGTTGTGGAGCTGGCGGAGGAAGGCTTCTACTGCGTCACCTGCTAGCTGGAGAGGCTGCTGGAGCTGAAGATTGAGGAAGTCACACTTGTACACACTCTGAAGGAGAGAAAAGGTAGCAAGTTAGCAAAATTCAGGATTCCAGTGTGAACTTTTACACCTACTACCAAGGTCATTCCACTCATTTAGTTTCATTACCTGCAGAACATGCAGCACCTTTACTTTCACTTAAATTTGTTCATACAGTCAAACCGTGAAAGTGAAAGCCTGGCATGAGTCATTTCTGCTGTTGCTTTAGCTTTGTAACACTCAGACAGGAAGACTTCATGCGTTTTATGTGTTAACAAGGATTTAAAACAAGTTGTCAACAAAAAGTGGACATAATGAAGAAGCACTTGTACCTCAACTGCAGGCACTATGTCAATACCAACTGTAAGGAATTCATCAAACTTCAAGAACGGGTTGAAGCAGCTTCCCACGTCAAGAAGGCGCATTTTCCCCAGCTCAGAGATTGAACTGCAACACAAATGTTGAACTGTCAACTGCAGCAAAGCTCACTCACATGTACTGTGCTTCACTGGGTGACAAGAAACGGCTTACTGCTAAACACACAGACAAGTTTTGTATCCAAGAAGGTCTCTTTTGCCTTGAAGAGTGACATCAATACATCTGAATAACAACATTTAAATAATGTTTGACATCATTTATAATTATATAAAGGAGACAACTGAATTTCTGCTACATTACAGATGGTATTTTGTAAAGAAAAAAAAAAAATTATAAACACTTGTGGTGATAAGCATTTTGGCAAAACTTCCCAAAACCACAGGTACTTTTTTTATAAGGAGAAAACACTCTTCTCATAATTAGAAATAGTGACAATAAAATCCAGAAGTAAAAAAGGTGTATTTCTAAGCGCAGACAGACTGTGCAAAGCATTTAAAATGGAAAACTATTAAGTGGAGGGGTTAAAAATTACAACAATCACGAGGCACGCGCAGCAGAACACAAGGACAATGATGGCACTAAACATTTTGATTTCTTGTATGATAACTGCCAAGAAATGTATAATATAAAGAGTTAGAATTTAATTTCTATACAGTATGGAATTGACACACAGATTCTGTGATCTGCATTCAAGGTATAATTCTTACTGTAACTTACCTGGGGATGGTGCTGTATGGTTGGGCACTTACAGATTCTGCAGTCAGACCCATGGCGAGTGTGGCACTTTTCTCATCCTTTTCTAACATTCGTTTCATCCCACCATCCAAAAAATATTCTTGACAGACACTGTGAAAGAGAAATTAAAAGCACTGCTCAAACCTTACCGTTACAGTACTGAGGTCTAAAATGGTGACTGAAAAATGATTTGATTTGATTTGATTTGATTGATTTATTCTTTCAAGCATATAAAACAGTTGATATAACAACACACATTTTTACACACAATCCAATATCAATTAGCTTATACCTAATACATGCTTGAATGCATTAGGTTTGAGGACATGAAGTTATTCATACCTGCGACACCATTCGATGCGTCCCTCTCCTTCACAGTTTTTGTTCCAGTGGTTGTCTGCAAGATTCTTCATGGCGAGGGCATATTCACTCAGAGTCTGCTCATCCTCACAGTGTTCACGCCAAATCTTGTCAAAGTCACCCACTGAGGTAAAAAAAAAAAAAATCAAAACAGAATAAACACAACAAAAACTCACACATCCCATTTTAGTCTGACATGTTTGTCCACAACAAGAAGCAAATACAACCTACTTGCCAACTTTTGTCATCCAATTGCATGACAACATGACTCTACAGCTTTGGAAACGCCTCAGGCCATATTTCCTGCTACATTGCCCATGCTCACTCGTTTCTACAACACAGAAGTGGAACTGTTTCTCTAATAATCTACCTCAAATTTCCATTTCACAATTCTATTAATGTCCACGAAATAAAATCCCTTTAGCTTAGCTTAGCAGTCCTTCACAGCTGCTCAGATATTTACAGCCTGTAGCACAGGCAAACAGTGATAAGGAAGAAGTCTCATGACCACAAGGAAAAATTGTCAGATTTGCAGAAATGAAAGGACAACAAGGGGAGCTGTGGTAAACTGCAGCATTTGAAAAGCATGACCACTGTGAGCCAAAGCGGTGCCTACCAGGTCATGTTTTACTTATTAACCGATCATGAGCTCTGCAAGCAGGACAACTTCTTTGTGCTGTTTTGGTCTCAAAGCAACCAACTAGTCTGCTCCTAAGATTAATATTTTCTGATTTAAAAATGCTTAATTCATGATTTTAAAACACCATACCATGCAGTGCTTTCAAGGTGGAAAGTAGGGCAGACCTACACAAATAACAGCATAAAACTGTGATGTTTGCCCTCTGCTGTTTACTTTGATTGGAAAACAGTGAAATCGTCAAGTGTAGTTTGTTTTCCAAATTCAGGGGCAGTAACAATGAAACAAACCAGCCCAACATTCAAGCAGGACACAACCTAAAATCAAGTATCTGTGGCTTTTATACTTGCAAAGTCAAATAAATCCTACAGCCTGCACACTGTGTTGTTGTTCTGCTAAAGATGATGTTTTCTTTAATCAAGAAAAAGATTTTGCACCTGCCGTTTTGAATTTGCCTTCAAGCATTCCACTCCTACACAGTTTCCCAGTACGACTGTGCATTTTCTCAAAAAGAGCAAATGAGACAGAGTGCAGTTTCAAGAACAACACAATGACTATGTAGGTAGGTATTGTAGCAAGTTTTTTTTTTTTTTAATCCAGGCCACTTCACCATTGCTGGAAGCTACTCTCAACTACAAATTGGTTTCAAATTTAAGTCCATGACTTGAATAATCCCCTCAGTCAGTGTTGGAAATCAAATGCCAGTTTCTTCTTTGTGCTATGAAGATGTTTAGCACTCTGATACTCAGAAAACATGCATCAGTGCTGATGTGGTGTAAAAGGTTTTTTTTCCAAACTTCCTGTTTAAAATCATGCTAGGATCTGAATTGACTAATAAGAGCTGAACATACGCCAACTCTTGTTAAAATGCAACCCTAGCTGAAGAATCACAGCCTCAGAAATGCAGTGTCATGTGTTTTACTTTTTGTTTTTTTGTACTTCCTCAAATCACAAAAGCAGAAGAAAATCCAACCTAAAGAGATATCTGAAGTGTCAGTTTGAACCTTAATTTTAATTATGAGCAATAACTGGGGCACATTTCTCTAAAAAGTAGAAATAAAGAGTAATAACTCTGGTATATGATGTTCATGGGTGACACAGTGGATTTACAGGATTTTTGCAGTAACATGAATGATTTTGAATTGTCAGGTATTCAAAATCACCAGCTTGGACAAAAATAGGCATTCCCAATCAGTTATTTTGAGTATAAATAATTTAGATTTTCCACAAAATACATAATGTTACAATACATAATGATATGGCAATATAAAATTACAAACTGCAATAAGAGATTTTATCCATAATCCTCCATCCACCTGCTGTGTCTATTGTCTAAAAAAAAATCTGCCAAGGTATCTGTAAGAAGATAAAGAGGTATTAGGAAGTCAATGATTGTTAACTGATAAGCTACAGTATGTTAGAGTCACATTAGGACCCTGCTGGAGTTTCGTATACCTTTTCGACCAACACG